TTTATATTTTTGCCAATTATGTAAACATTCTATTAAATTATTCATTAAATTAAAATTTTCTTCTGATTCTGATTCTGATTCTTCTTGTATTCTTAAATTTGAGAATTCATCTATTATTTCATAATCAGATTCCTTATTTTCTTCTGAATTTTTATCTTCTATTGATATAATACTATAAATAGATTCTTTATCTGAAATATATTCATTTAATTGTATTAAATCTTCATTAGTACATTCTATTAATGTGCTCTTTTTATCATAATTATTTATTCTTTTTGGACAAGTCTTGGATAAATGCTCATTACTATTACAAACATAACAACTAAGTCTATTTTTATGGGTTCTTTCTGGTTTAAATTTTCTAACATGTCTTTTTTCATCTAAATATGGTTTTCTTTTATTAGATTTTCTTAGAAAATATCTTTTCTTAAAAGGTCTCTTATATTTTCTTTCTTTATTACTATATTTATTTTTTTAGGGCTAGTAGCTCAATAAGTTTGTGGAGTAAAAGTATCTTTACAAAATTTATAATCTATCTTCTTTAATTGTTTTTGAATTTGTAATTCTACACATTTATCTTCTAAGCATCTTATTACATGTTGTATTCTTTGTCATATACTCCATTATTTTTCTGGTTCTTCTTTTACTGATACTAAATTATTCCATTTGTCTGTAATCTCTAATCCTAATGGTCCTGGTAATTTATGAAATAATTTATTACCAATATCTTGATTAAATGTATTTCTTGATATTGAAGTTAAATAATGATATTCATTTAAAAATTTCTTAACATATCTTCCTTTAGTCTATTTATAAAGACTAAGTTGTTCTAAATCCCTCATAACTTTTCTTTGTATACTCATATGTCCTGAATTTGGGTCTGCTCCTGTTATTAATAGCTGTATTTTATTAACAAAATTATATGGATTACTTCCCATATTGACTAATTGTTCAAATTCTTCTTTCTTTTCTAATTTAAATGCTTCCCACATGACTTTTACACTTTCTCCTAAAAATTTTTCTAAATATCTATACATATCTAAAACTTCCATTTCTTGAAAATTTCTAATATAATGGCCTATTATAGTATTTTTCCATACATCTATTGCATTATTCCATGTCTGTGGATCATGTGCTGTAATATTTAAAAATTTGTGCTTTATGGTCTGATTGAAATTCTATTTTCTTTTCTAAGGGTCTTTCACTTCCTTTTGCTATATATTTTTCTTCTGTGTTATTATATAAAGGATAAGCTCCTCTTGGGGGAAATCCTCCACCATAAATCATTGCTTCATGTTTAATTATTTTAAAGGGAGTATCTCCAAAAGTTCTATATGTATTTGAATATTCCATAAGTTCTTTTGTATAACTTAAATCTGAATTTTCTGAATCATTATCTTTTTTAATAATTCATATTCTTATATTCTATTTTTGATCATAATATGGATATTTAGATTCTTTTATCATTTTATTAATATACATTTGATCTTTAAGTTCTAATAATTCTTTTTTATTTAAATTTATTCCTAATTCTTTTGGATAAATTATTCTATCAAGTTCTTCATCCATTAATTCTATGTGTACTTGATCTTGATATGGTTCATTTTGTTCTTCTGGATTAGATTCTTCTTCAAAATTATTTTGTCTTTGTACTTGATTATAATCTAAAAATCT